AAGTTGTTATTTCCTTGGTTTGGGCTTTGGGAGCTTGTGGTTTCCTTGGGTGCTTTTGTCTTTCTTAGTGGGTGATACCTTATCACCTCTTTCGTACCTTTTTCTTTTTCTTAATAACGTTACTTTTTGTTTATTACCAACAAAAGAAAAAAACATGCATATTGGCAATCACCCCCTAAATCATTTGTTCTGGGAGGTGATTGACCTAATTTTAGCTGTCATGTGCAAGCTCTTAAGCAAACAATTGATACAAAAGCTGTTAGTTATAGTCTTTGCATATACATCTATCCAGAGCTGAAACCAAATGGTACTTTAACACTTGACCCAATGAACCTTATTCTTCATAAGGTTCTCCCAAATGGTACTTTAACATTATTCCCTTAAAGTTCTCCCAAATAAGAATAGAAGAAACTAGAAAGAGGGCAAGATAATGGAAATAAGATGCTGAAAAAAAGAAACAGCAAACTAGACAAATTACATACCTGGGAACTCCATGAATATTTAATTCAATGGTTCATCTGATTGAGACCTTATAATGGGCCATTATTTTAGCTCATATAGGTTTCATCCAGCCCTTGAAAGCTCCATAAGTTTTCCTTTAATGTTCTCCTAAATATTCTCTAGAATCTCTACAAGTAAAAGTACTTTTATTTAGAACACGGGTTCAAGTCTGAGGGCAGGCACTTTGTACAAAGAAAAATGCTGATGGTTTGGTCCATACCCAATCTACCCGTCCTAAAACCCCAGGTAGCTAGGATCAACATTGGGTAATGACCTTTCTTTATTCCCAAATACCCATCAAAAAAGAAAGAATATATTTGTCCCAAACTCAAGACAAAGTTAACCTCTAACTCTCCCAAAAATATGACTTCTTAAAAACTACCAACACTATTAATGTTGCTTAAAAGATTCTACCAACACTATCAATGTTGCTTAAAAACTTAAGACACATCTTGGCTCATTTTAAAGATCTCGATTTCTCTAACTTTTATAACAGTTGCTTATAACAGAAAAAAAAAGAAAAAAATGGATAGGAAAACAATTATTGTTTGAAGTGAAGGGGACATATATATAATCTTTTTTGACAGGTAAGTAACTAACATTTGTTAATAGRAAAAGAGAAAAATACTAGTATATTGGCATCGATGTTTTAAAATGAGGAGGCATGACACAAGGAGTTATGCTACCTGGAGGCGTGAGGCATAGTTTAGAATG